GGGTGAGGGGACGCTGCTGTGGTTGGAGCTGTCCCAGGGTAGGCTCCTGCTGGCCCTTCCCCTCCCAGTTTCCTCCTATCAGACAGAGGCAGGAGGGAAAAGCCTAAAACCAGAAAGAAAGAAAAAAAGAAAAGGGGAGAAAATACAGGCCTGATTTTGCCTGTTCTTTCGCCTGGAAAAATTAGGAGCAACTAGTGGTAGATTACCACAACCCCATGATGTGGTCCCACCCATTAGAGGCCCCACACCTAGAACCCAATATCATTAAAATTGTGTCCAACCAACTTGTAAATATTTTGCTCTTACTGGTGGGCTGAAATGCCCAGCTCTGTGCCTATTCTGGCAGTCTATCCGCCGCAGCTACTTCCACACCTGAAAGGACACGGTGCACCTCTGCAGGCTGCCCGTGGGTGTGCCACAGCACCATCCCCCAGACGAGATCCTGACCCGGCCTCCTCTCTCCCAGATGGTGCCCTCCTCCACGGGAATTCCTGGGACACACTCATTAGGACACGGGGGTCCAGCAGCTTTTAGTCCTGTTGGGTCCCACTGGCAACACATTCCTCCCCGGGCCCCTGGCTGCCTGGGAGCCCCTGGGACTTGGATTCTCGGAGCGGGCAGGTCACGTGACAGCACCACCAGCCACCACGTGTGACCGAGCCCAGTGGAGTCCTACTGCCAGGATGTCCCAGAACATGGACAGGACCCAAGGCTAGCACTTCAGCCACACTTCATGCAGGTGTCTGAGTGGTGGATGCTCTGGGCAATAATGGCTCATCTTCACACTGATGATGCACTGTCAGGCCATTGCCTAAAAACTGTCCCCTTTGGAGTAAAGAACGCTGGAAATCTCTTGCCTCACAGATGCCAGAAATATAACTTAAAATCACACATGTCTCCGGATATACTAAGGCCACAATACGAGTCCCGACTAAGACATCCTTACCCTTTGGAGTTACAAACATTACTAACAGTAGCCAAGACACATGTCACTTGAAACCACCATGTCCCCGACGCGTTCCACGACCGTTTCACTGAGGGATGTAATGGTCTTCTTAAACAATTCCTCTTCATATCCCAGTCCAGTAAATGGACCCTAGTTGAGTCTCTATCTTGCCCTAGGCTTTAAGCTCCCTTAATTAAGGGCCCTTTGCCCAACTCTCACCTCACACCAACCTGAAAAGCTTTCCCACTGTCCTTCCCTGTACTGAAGGGGAGATGTGTTCAGCCTCTGTGTAATGGAGACTGGTCATGAGGCCCTTTGCTGATGTCTCCCTACCCCTTGTGTCCCTGTGTGGCCCCGGACTGAGTGCCGGGCCTCCTGTTTCCTGGGATCGGTTGAGTATGAACTTCTTCTTGCACGGCAACCATTTCCCTGTGTGTGTGTCTCACCATAACTGGTTAAAACAAATCCTGAGTACACGTTTTGGAACAGTCTCCAGATCTCTCTCTCTTCTGAGGTCTTTACGTGGCCACTCGCGTGTCAAGTCTCCCTCTGCCTCCCCCTCACGAGGATGCCATGATGACATATAGGGCCCATTCAGATCATCCTGGATTATCTCCCTTCTCAAGACCCTTCACTTAATCACACCTGCAAGTCTCTTCAGCACAGAAGGTCACGCTCAGAGGTCCTGGGATTAGGACCACGGACACCGCTGTGGCCAGCCAGTCAGTGTGCATTTATTCCACTCACAACTTCTGTGTTAACTGTCACACATTTCAATTCTCTGGTGTATTTAAGCCCCCAGAATACATTACAATATTTTTTTATATATCACTCTTCATTAGATTCGTGTACAACATACTCTTCCTGTACCTCTGGGCTGTGTGGGACCATTCTGCGTGGAGGTACCAGTTACCATCTCCTTGGTGAGGGCCAATGGGGACCAATGTCCCCAGAGTCCAGTTCTCCGCAAAGTCCTTATCTGGCCTTCTCTTTGGAAGTAAAATTCTTGCTGGATTCAGAATTCTATCTTACCAGTTGTGTACTTCCAGGACTTTGAAGTTTTCATTTCACTATGTATTGGTTTCAATTGCTTCTGTTGAAAAGTCAGTGAGCTTTGAAGATACTCTGTGGGTCTTTGGTTCCAGCCCTTCACCACGATGTGCTTGGGTTCGGCTTTCTTCATGCCTTTCTTCGAGGGCTTCGCCGCACTGCTTGATTCTGTAGCTGGGTATCTTCCAACACTTCTAGAAAATCGCCTGCCCTTATCTCTGCAAATCCTGTTTCTGTCACCAACCTGGGGGACTGGTCCGTTGGCGGCCTCCAGGGATGGGGTTGTGCTGTTTCAGGCAGGAGGGTGCAGGCACGAGACTTTTCACAAGGTGGCGAAACGTCTGATTGTGGAAGACGCGGTGCTGTACGACTTGCCTGGTGTGTGTACAACGTGAAGTGTAAACCCAGGCCAGGCCACCCAGCTGTCTGTCAGCAAGGTCCGCTCGCCTTCTCCAAGCCAGCTTGTGCCCCGACCACACCTGCTCCTTGTCACTTCGCTTTGCCAAGCCCACACCCCAGGGGCTCACCTATGACTCCGCTCCTTCCCTCCCACCCCTGCATCCAATCCGCCTGCGGTCCTAGCGCTCATCTTCCAAATGTGTCCCACATCCGATCACCTGTGCCCACGTCCAGCCATCGCAGGTCGGAGCCATCAAGTAGCCGCCTGACCCGTACATTAGGCGACTCCCCGGCCTCCGGGGCGATCCTCCGAAGCATGAAGCCGACAACGGCTCACTCTCGGGCCCCGGGACAGCGGAGCGCTCTTACAGGAGGCGTCCGAGCACAGCCGGTGAGCAGGGCTGGCGGGTACCGCCGTCCAGCGGGGTAGGACCGAGCCGGGAAGAGGCAGCGGTCCAGGACTCCCCAGGCTGCAGCCGGGCGGCGGCGGGTGGCGGGGGAGAACCCCCAATCCCCGCCCACTCACCGGCCCGCCCCCCCGGGGTTCCGAGAACCCACCCAGACCCGGCCCACCGCCCGGCCCCGCCCCGCAGCGGCGGTCACGTGGCGTGCGACCCGGAGGCGGAACCGGCGGCGCAGACCCGGGCTCCCGGAGCGCAGAGGAGCCGCCGGGCCTGCGGGGATCGTGCGCCCGTGCCTCCCGCGCCCCCCGCGCCCCGCCATGCAGCCCCCGGGCTCCCGCACCCCGCTGCTCGCGCTGCTGGCCGCGCTGCTGGCCGCGCCCCGGGCTCTGGCAGAGGCCCCGCACCTAGTTCTCGTGGACGCGGCGCGTGTGCTGCGGCCCCTGCGGCCCTTCTGGAGGAGCACCGGCTTCTGGTGAGCGCTCGACGCGGGGAAACGGAGGCCCGAGAGGCCCATCTCCCCTCCATCCCGCCGCGCGCTCCTCCCGAACCCGGGACGCGCTCCTGGACCCCCTGGTTGCATTGGAGAGACCCCTGGGCTCCCGCGCCCACCGCTCAGGCGCTCTCATGTGAGGAAGGCCGCCCAAGCCCTAACCCTTCCCTGGCTGGTTTACTCCTTCCTCTCGGGGTGCGCCTTCAGTCAGACTGGGGGTTTTCTTTGTCGGCGGGCTCCAGGCGGTGTTTTGGGTGCCACGAGGGGTTTTCTGAGTGGGTGCCCGGTGTGGTGGGGACCTGCGGACAGGCCCTGAGTTTGCGCGGTGGCCACCTGGGGCCGTCCAGGCGGCCACCTGGGGCAGCGGCCCAGGACCCTCCCAAGGGGGCGGCCACAGTGATGTCAGACATCCCTGTCGTAGGACCTATCTCCCAACCCCCCTGTGTCTCTGACCCCCGCCCCCCGTGGCTCCGACGCCCCCCCCCCCCCTCCCCGTGTCTCCGACCCCCTCTGTGGCCTGCTTCTGGCTGAGATCACCTGGCTGAAGGGGGAAGGAGCAGGGTATTGGGATGGGGTCCTCTCTTCTCAGGGTGCCCCTGATTTCCATAAACGTGAGACTTAATAACATTCCTGATGTTAGGGGTCATTTTATTACATCAGGGACAGTAACATTCATTGGCAGGTACTCCCCACTCCAGCTGCTGGAGGTGGGTGTCCTGGGGACTCATGCCCCATCCCCCTTGTTCTTTCCCCAGCCCCCCACTGCCTCACAGCCAGGCTGACCAGTATGACCTCAGCTGGGACCAGCAGCTCAACCTGGCCTATGTGGGCGCTGTCCCTCATGGTGGCATTGAGCAGGTCCGGACCCACTGGCTGCTGGAGCTCGTCACAGCCAGGTAGGTGATGGGGGCAGCTGGCAGAGCCCCCTTTATGGAGAGGAGGACCGAGGCTAAGAGGAGGACTATGTTGGGGTATGCAGGACCGGGCAGTGTGAGGGCCGTGGTGGGGGCAGAAGAGAGGAATCCTGCTCTGAGGAGCTGTTGCCCTCACACTTCCCAGCAGAGTGTCCTGTGTGGGGCCCTGGATTGGGCACAGCTGACATCCTGCTGGACATCACTTAGAGGCTCAGGGGCAGGTTGGTGTCCCACTGCACCAGCTTTGTGGCTGAACCAGCACCAGCAAGAGTGCACCCACATACCTCATGTGATGTGCATGTGGGTCAGGCTTTGCAGGAACACTGCCCAAGGGCTGGGCTGAAGTTGTGTTGGTCCCACCCCCCTTCAGCCCTGCAACGCTCAGCCCAGCCAAGGCGTGAGACGAAGGAACACTTGGGTGTGTGTTTGGAAGACTTCAGAGACACAGAGATCCTCAGGCCCCTGGCCAAAGCTGCCACCTCTCACCAGTGGGCCCAGGATTGAGCAGGCCAAGGGACCAGTATCCTATGGGCACCTTGGAGGCATCCTGATTGCCTTGGGCCCTTGTTCAAATAAGAGGTGACACCTGGTGTCAAATCGACCCTGCAGGATCACGGATGCACAGCACGCGGGCCCAGGGTGGCTCTGTGACAGTTTGTTTCAAAGGTGCCGCTCTTGGATGTTCAAGTGTCTGGGGCCTCTGTGTGTTCCCTGGTTCCTCCAGGGTGGAGGGGCACAGTGTCACTCTTGGAGGGGTGTGCTGAGTGGTCGGTGACCGGTTGTGGGAGCGTATCTGCTGAGGGCTCCTGGGACGCTGCTAGAGGGCGGAGTCCGTGGCTGCCAGCGCCCTGCGGCGGGCTCGGGCCCCCTGCACGGCGCCGTGCACGCTGTGGAAGAGCTGCCCCTCGTCAGCTGCGTCCCCCTGGTCCTCCCCAAGGAAGCCACCTCTCCTCAGGGTGTCCCTCACCAAGGGGCTGCAGCAGGCCAGGAGCAGGGTGATGCCCAGGGCCCCGTAATCTCGGCGCAGGTCCTGCAGCGTGGCCACACCGGCTGCATCCAGGAACAGCATTGGGGCACAGTCGATGACCACAGCATGGAAGCTGGCTGCCGTGGTCACCAGTGCAGCCGTGCTGGTCACCGGGCCCAGGTCCACGCCCTCAACAGGGTCTCCCTCACTGGCCCTCGCCTCCAGGCCCCGCTCTTTCTTCCTGGTGGCCGCGTGCCCTGCATCCAGCCCCGTGAGGCTGTAGAGTGACCGCAGGAAGAAATCCTTGTTGGCGTAGTAGAGCGGCCCTGCAAAGCGGAATATCTGCACCCCAGGCTCAGGGACCAGGCCCTCAAACTCTGCAGCGTCCTCGTAGAAGCCAGAGTCCCCGATCTGAGCAAGCAGGGCAGCCCGCGGGCGCTGGGTGCGGCCAGCCAGGCTGAGCAGAGACAGGAGGATGCCGGCCAGCAGCCCCACCTCGACACTGACCAGCGCACAGGTGGCTGCCGTGGCCACCCAGACCAGCGCATCAGCAGGGCTGAGCCGCCACAGCCTTGGGACGTCCCTCACCTTGCGCAGGGCGCCCCGCAGGCTGACCACAATGATGCAGGCCAGCACGCACCGCTGCAGGTCCCGGAACAGTGGCGCCAGGGCCAGCAGTACCAGCAGCACCACGGCGGCACTGACCACGCTGGACAGCTGCGTGCGGCAGCCGGTGGCCGTCTTCACGAGACTCTTGGACAGGGCGGCGCTGGTGACATAACAGTGGAAAAAGGCAGGCAGCACATTGCAGCAGCCCACGGCCAGCAGCTCCTGGTTGGCCCTCACGGAGTAGCCGTGGCTCCGGGCAAACATCTCAGCCAGAGAGATGGAGAAGGCAGAGCCCACGAGGGCCAGGGGCACAGCGTCCAGCACCACATGCCACATCAGCTCAGGGTCTGGCACCCGGGGGGCCACGAAACCAGTGGGGATGTCACCGGCCACGCTGGAGCCAAAGCGTTCGTGGAGCTGGCCGAAGTGGGACACCAGCGTGGCCGCCACAATGACCAGTAGCTCCGTGGGCAGTGGCACCTTTAGGCGGTGCCGGCAGCGGTCTGAGAGCTCCTTAGAGGCCAACAGCACAGCCAGGCACGTGGCACTGGTGACCACGTCGCAGAGGTTGGCCTGCCCAGCACTGCGCAGCAGGCTCAGCCACGTGCTGACCACCATGCCCGGCCCTTGGTGCCGTGGGATCTGCACGCCCAGCAGGTGCCTCAGCTGGGAGGTCAGGATGGTCACCGAGGCCCCCATGGCAAAGCCATCAAGCAGTGGCTGGGAGAGGTAGGTGGACACAAAGCCCAGCCGGAGGATGCCCATGAGGACCTGTGGACAGAGTGTGGTCAGGGCAGCGGGCTGCCTGGTGCAGCAGAGGGGGTGGCCGCAGCACAGAGCCCAATACCCCTTCACTGCTGCCGCTTATTTCCTGAATGGACTCTGTCTGGAGTGCCCGCACACACGTGTGCGCACACAGGCACAGCGGATGCTGGAGGTGCGCATGTGGCCTCGTATGCTCATTTCTGGTCCTCTCACGCATGCGGGCTCCGGGCATCGGAAAGCAGCTCCTTTCTCCTGTCCTGCGAGGGGCACTGCCCCCCACCCGGGAGACCCGGGGCCCCTGGGAGGGTGTGACATTGGGGTGGACAGGACAGGCCTGGTCCGGGAGACCCCTGGGTGTGGGGAGGCTGCAGGAAGGGAGGCAGCCTCTCAGGGTCCCACCTGGGATGGGAAACCCAGGGGAGCTGTGTGGGCCAGTCAGGCATGTCTGGAGCTGAGGCCACACTCCAGCCAACTATTGCTGTCCAGGCCACAGCTGGCTGGGTGGGGCCCCTGTTCCTGGGCACCCTCAGGCCCTCGGGTGCCCCCATCCTGGGGTGCCGTCCCGGGCCCACCTCTGCCTCAGCCTGCCCTGTCCTGTCCTTGCCGGTTAAACCCACCGTTCTCTGAGGCCCTGAGCCCACACTGCCCTGGGCCTGGCCCTTCTGAGTGGGCGGTGAGCGCCCGAGGGGCCTGCGCCTCGCTCGGCAGAACCCCAGCCAGTAGGCCCCTCACCTGGTAAATGCCGGCTACCAGTGTGAGGGCAGTGGTGACGCGGATGGCGTAGCAGTCCTGCCCACAGTCCTGCGGACCGGGCCCCCCGGCGGCGGCTGAGGCGTTGACTCTGCTGCCGTTGTCCCCCGGCCCAACGCTGTCTGGGGCGGGGCCGAAGCCGGCCAGCAGGAGCTCGCGGTCCACCACCTGGCCCACCATGAGGCAGAGCAGGCTGAAGATCCCCACGGACACGTGGTGAGAGGTGCCCATGAGGAAGTAGATGAGGTTCGCGAAGAAGGACGTGTACAGACTGTAGATGGGCTGTAGTCCCGCCAGCAGTGAGTAGGCGATGGCCTGTGGCACCAGGATAATGCCGATGACCAGCCCAGACATGACGTCACCTGCCAGGGCCTCCCGTGGGTGGTACCGGCACAGCCAGCGTGTGGCAGGGAGCAGGTCCTGCACCAGCGTCCAGGCCCTCTGCGGGCTGCACGCGCATCTCCACCACAGCCTGGCTTTGAGCATCTCACGCAGGCCCAGGGGCGCTGGGGACCGCCGGCGGACCAGCACCGGCCCCCCGCCCCGCTGCACGCACTCAGGGGACACCTCCATCCGGCCTGCCACGCTGCTGGGGGAAACTTGCAACGGAGGCAGGTGTCAGCGCCGAGGTCAGAGGGCCGCACAGAGACCCAGACCTATGTGTGGTTGAACCCCTCTCCGCTGCTCCCTGTCCACCTCCCCATGCGGGCACAGGCTGCCCCCCCACCCATCCCAACCACCATGGTCCCCTCTGGCACCCCTAAGTCAGCTCTGTACCATGGGCTTGGAGGACGAGGGCCTCCCGATGCCCCCTGTTGAACCTTGGAGGGCTGCTCAGACGGCAGCACTGACCACTCCCCGCTCCTTGGGGCAGAATTCCTGGGATGTGCTTTGGGAGGGTGATCTCAGTGGGGGCCAGCTGGGAGGGAAGTTGGGGTGTCTGGCATCTGTCCTCTGCCCGGTCCCCCGGGATTGTGGGGTACCCTTTCCCAGGTGTGTGATCACACTCCTGAGGCGGGTCGGGGTCTCAGACCACACAGGTGCACCGTGGAACACAAGTGTGGGACTGCCCCTTGTGTCCCAAGGGCAGCTGGCCTTCTCTTGCCTTGTCACCCCAGGCCCAGGACATAGGGCCTGGGGTCTCCCCGGGCTGTGGAGGATGGTATGTGTTGGGGGGGGGCAGGCAGGCACAGCCCTCATGAGCTCCAGGGGGATGTCGAGCTGTGCTTCCTTCCTGGGACGACCTCAGCACACAGGGGTCCCCCCGAGCCCCCAGAGTCCAGGTGTGTAGAGTGAGGACTGTTTAAGTGGCATCTGCCTTGTGCCGGAGGGTCCACGAAGGAGACCCTAGAACCGCCCTGCCCTCCCCTTCACCCAGGGAGCTGGTCTCTCCTGTCGCCTTGGGGATTTCATGGTCCTGCCGCAGGGCTCCGAGATGATCTTACCTGAGGGAGCCTCTCACAGGCTTGGAGGACCGGAGGGTAGCGAGGGAGCTGGCCTGTCAGCCTGTTGGGGCCGGAGTCTGCCGGCCGGCCGGACCTCCAGAGCCCTCTGGCTTTTGTTGGCGGGTGGCAGAGTGTGGGCGGCAGGCCTCTGGCTCAGAGCTGGAGCCAGGAGCCAGGCCACGGCAGAACTGGCGCCCACCGCGGGCAGTGCTCCGTGGTGACCATCTGACTGCTTGGCCAGCTGGGATTGCAGTTAAATTATTTACCCCAAAGATTGCTGAGTCATGGGTTTCCCCCAGACCAGTGTTACCTGAGCGGCTAATCCAGGGAGTTGTACTGCAATCAGAGGCTCGCAAACAATTGTGTGGGCCTCTTGATAAGCTCCCAGCCTCCCAGTGGGGCCCCAGGTGTGGGACAGGGTGGGCAAGGGCACCCAGTGGCTGGAGCAGGATGCTTGGATTCCGGGGTCCCTGGGGGAGGCGGAAGGCCCAGGAGCCCAGCCAGTCCTGGGACAGGGTACAGGCAGAGGGGACCCTTCAGCTCTGGGGCCTATTGCTGTGGTCCCCACAACTAACCAAGGGTAGGTGCTGGGGGAGGGGCTGGTCTCTTCATCCCATCCCTGGTCATCCTCCCTGTTGTGCCGTGAGACAGGTCTGGTCCATGCTGGAGCGCCGGCCCGAGTGGCACTGGGCAGCTGTATGCTTGGCTTCTGTTTGTGTCCTTGTGTGGAAAGCAGGTGTGAGGCTGCTGCTAAGTGTGTGTGCGTGCACGCATGTGGATTGCTGAGGGCAGGAGGGCCAGCAGGCATCACGATATGCTACCAGCCAGGTGCACCCTTCTTGCTGCGGGGGGTGGGGGTCTGACCACCTGCGTGACTGGCAGGTGCCCGGCGTGGGCAAGGACTGGCTTGAAGGCACATGATGGCTTTAGATGATTAACCACGCGACCCACAAATGATACAATGACTATTCTGATCCCCCACCTTTACACTGAGTAACAGGTGAACTTCTATCACTGGGATTTTGAAGGGTTATGTGTGGAAAGGGGCCTATCCCGCCGTGGCCCCGTAGCCCCTATTGCTCTCCTATCCCCCCAGGACACAGCCTAGGGTTTTCCCTCCACTGACCCCCCACAGAGTCCAGCCCAGGACCCACTCAGCCCCTGATGGGAGCTGTTTGCCCAGATCAGGAGCTTCAGGCCCCTCCTTGGGGCAGATCAGGTGCACCACGGGGTGCAGAGGGGAGGGTAGCTATTGAGGGGGGTATATACGTTCATCTCCTACCCCAGCTACTGGCAAAAGGGCAGAGAGAACTCCCTGGGTGACCTCAGCGCCCTTGGGGGTTTTGTGACACAGAGGACTCCTTGGTGCCCAGAGCAGCGGTGGCCAGGGGCAGATACACGTGTGCTCGTGCTGGGCCACGGGGCCTGGGTGCTGGTGTAGGAGAGGGGGCTCCTCAGGGTGGGGACTGAGTGTGGGAAGGGGCCCTTCATCTGAGTTAGGAAGGGGAGGGGCAGCGGTTTCTGGAGGCTCTGGGCCGGAAAGCACCTGGGTGGGGTGAGATTCAAGGCAGATGGAGATATTTCAGGGAGGGGCTAATTGGGCCCACCCCGAGCCCCTATCCTGTCAGATGCAGCACGGGGGCTGGCTTTGGCTCCCTTGCCAGCAGGGATTGGGCCTCATACTCTGCCCAGCCTGGGTGTCTAAACCAGCTGAAGGAGTGACAGTTGAGGTCACGTCTGACCTTTGGGAGAATTGCAGGACACTCCAGCCCCTGCCATGTCCCTCCCCGGCTTCTCTGCATTGAGGCTGGTGATCGGGCACCTGTGGTCTGGCCCCCGCACATGGGTATCTAAGTCCTGGGCGCTTGCCTGCCAGAGGGGCTGCTGAGGCCCACACCCCCTCACTGCGGTGGGCCCACGGAGCTGCAGACTTCACCTGCGCAGGGGCCTTGGGGTTCACCCTGCTGGAACCTCCCTCTGGGGGCCTCTGCCCAGCCCTAGGCCACATGGTTATTTCCTTACAATTTGTCTTTAAATCCCCGTTTTAAATTGTCAAATACGCTTATTTGGTACGGAAATATTGTATCCCGACCCCGAGTGCAAAGGGGCTGCCGGGTCGACGGCCCGTATTGCTTCCAGGGCCCCGAAACGCCGCCGTGGTGCACGGGCCCCGGGTGCTGGATGGGAAGATGGAGAGCACCCGGCATCTCCCGCCAGCTGGCCCTGAGCCTGACACCCTCCTACCTCCATCCTCAGACTGAGGCTGTGGGTTCCCTTGGGGGGCGGGCCTGTGAGCTCGCTGCGCGTGCCCCCACACATCTCCCTCTCTGAGCGTATGGCCCCCGGCTGGCCGCGCACTGCGCTCCCCGCCCGATCCTCCTGCTCCGGGAGCGCGCGCCCCGTGTCTTCGCCCCGCGCACCCTCCGTGCGCGCCCCCCACCGTCGAGCACCCGCGGCCGCGGCCTTGTCCTCACTCCCCTGCGCACGTGCAGCCGGGTCCCTCTCCGCGCACCCGAGCACTCACCCGGCGGCTGCAGCTCTGTCCTCCCGCGCACGCGCTCAGGCCCTGCAGTGGGGGGGCCTTGGCGCAGCCCGACAGCCGCAGGCGCGCGTGAATGAGCCCTTTGTGCAGCCACCGCAGCCCGGGCCCACGTGCCAGAGCCAGAGGCCTCGCGCCCAGGTTCGGACCGTTCCAGGGCCGCGGAATGGATGCTTGCCGTTGGAGACCCAAGCCTCTCTGCACTTCACCTCAACGCTCAGCCTCCTCCCTAAATGAGGTCTCTCAGATCCTCACTCTGACCGGGCCAGGCAGAGAGAGACCAAGGCACCCACAGTGGGGCCTAAGGACCTCTGGGGTGGGTTTTTGGGCCCCTGGGACCCATGTATCCTTAGCTGTGGAGGCTGGCTGGGCCAGGGGACACTCCTATCCATCCAGGGGGACGGGCTGGGGATGCCTCTGCGTTAGGGCTCCCCCGTGGTACCCCACTGGCAGAGGACACCACCCACAGGAGCAGCATGGATCTGAGGCCTGCTGTGCACCCGATGTGTGCAGGCTGGGATTATCACTGCCAGGGGCTGCAGGGAAAGCCTGGAGCCCCTGCACATGCCTTCACTTTCCACTTGGTCACCCCATCACCCCTGCCCACCCTCCTCCCACACAGTAGTGGGACTTTGGAACCGTCTGCTGTGTGCATTTAATTTTTACCCAAGTGCTTGTTAGTTTTCTTTGCTACTAGTTGTGACCTTTGGATGGGAGGGGAAGGGTGAGGGAGGTGATCCCCACGGCCCACGAGCTTGTCCTGCTGGGCCCCAGAGATGGAAGGACGCAGCCCCTGCACAGAGGGGTCAGCAAGGGAAAGCAGAGTGTAGGGCGTGGGAGGAGCAGAGGAACTTGTGTGTGGTGGCTTGACCTGGTCCCTGGGTTGGACTCAAGGCCAGGCCCAGGCTCAGCCTTGACCCTGTACAAAGTGAGGCGTGGGGGAGAGAAGGGTGTAGAGGGGAGGTGTTGACTTATCCATGTCCTCACTGTGTCCAGGGAGACAGTGAGCCAGCCAAGCCGTGGCGTGGGGTGGGGAGGTTGACGTGAAAAGCTGTTTGGGGCCAGGTTCCGTGGTGACCCCACGTGGCTCCTCCCCAGCTGCCACAAGAGGGCGCACCGCAGGCCCTCCTGCCCTTGGCTGCCTTCCTCCCTGGGACAGACGGATGGAGCAGGCATGTCCTCAGGGGAAGCCCTGAGCGGCCTGCCAGCCCATCGGCCTGTGCTCCTCATGAGGCAGCACCCCCAGCCCGGGCCACCCGCGGGCTCCGTGCACATCCCTGCACGACTCCGCCCGCCCCGGCCCCTTGCCTGTGCCTGACTGGAAGGCTACCAGCTTCCCCACCCAGCTCCCAACGCCGGGTCCACCCTCGGATGCCACCTGTACCCCCACCCACCTCACTGCTCAAGCGAAGTATGCGGGGTTGTGCAAGACCTGCCCCCTCCATCCGCAGATGTTGCCCACCCTACCTCATAAGTCCATCTGCTCTGGCTCCTTCCTGCTGCCTTTGTAGCCACTGCCCAGTCTTGGCACTTACACCGGCCCCGGGGGGACCTTTCCCACCATCATGGCCAAAGGGAAAACTATGGGG